ACGTGTTGTCTCTGACTTCCCTGTTACGCTCTTGTCTTCTCTTTGCACAGGATCTGCTTGAATAGCAGGCACAACCTGTCAAGCAACTGAGCAACAGGTTTCTTACAGGGCCCCGTGACCTGCCGCTGTTCCTGCCGCTCTTTTTGTCTCCAGATACTTTTCCTTTCACCTTTTAGTATAAACTTTGGCCTTGGCTACAGATGAAGAATCTGTCCTTCTGCTGTCATTGGTTCAGTCTGATGAATGTACAGAGGCTCTCTGAGACTAATGCCACAGTTGAGGAGCATTACAACGAAGGTCTTACTGTGTTTTGCTTCAGTTATTGATTCTGTCGAGTGAGTTTGAATCCCAAAGTTATTTATTTTTAGGAGATAAAGAAATTATGCCGTAATCTAAAGCTGGTTGTATAAATCCATCGCCACCGTATTACGGGTTCTCCCTCTTCTATCCCCTTGGAGTGCACCTGGAAATATTTCACACTTCTTTTCTCATGCACTTGTACATAAACCTGTTTTTTCTTTGCCATTTTTTGATGTGGTATCAGTTTGGTAAGTGTTTAAAAAAGCAAAACAAAAAAAAAGGTTGAATGGTTGGTAATTCTTTTGGAACACTTGACTCTTAACCTACTTTTAACAAACTATTTGTTTGTCAAAAACTGTCCTTCAATATTGAGGGCTTTATAAATTTGGGGTCTTAAGCCTGACCAAAATGTAAAATCTTGTATTTGGAATACCAGCGTCCAAATGTTTGGCACACGTCTTCTTTAAAGTAATAAGGAATGTGGAAATTTCCATGTCCATAGCATTTTATAGCAATAAAATTCTCCGTGCACATCAATAAAAATTCTGCAGTAACATGTTATTTTTAGGTTTGTTGGATGAATCGATGTCGTTGTGCATTAAATGCAAGGGTAGTAAAGTATGTCTGTTTCAGGACAGAAATTGTTTAAAATGTTGTCTGCAGTTCGAATTACCTAAAGCACAAGGCCTCCTGTAATGCTAAGAGTTTGTAGTATAACATTTTTCTTAAACCTGACCTGTTGTGATGAGACAAATGATCACTGTAGTCATATAATTGTCATGTTTGTAACAATTTCAGCAGTTTTTGGTACTAATCAACTTTTGCAAATTATATAACAATTGACAGATTGCAGTTCAAAGATGTTCAGAAACAAATCTAGTTTTAGAGTAAAAATTACAGAATTTTTTAAACCACACAAACATATAACCAAGTTAATCAACATTATTTGGTTCTGGAAATATAGCAATATGAAAACCAACAAATCTATATGTGTTGTATAGCATAACTCCTGCTGTAACCATGGCTGGATAAGAGCCAAAGCCATGCCAAGACTGTTTTGTTTGGTGGGTGGATCTCTGC